AATGGCGCTCGTGCATCCAAGCTATTGCCTCCAATGCATAGCTCGTTTCCCAACCCCCCTCCCACTTGACAGCGAGGCACCGAAAGGGTGCTACAGCTGGACGATTTTGTCGATGCCTCTGAAACCAGGCGCACCATGTGCCACCGGGTTAGCCGTGCATTTTTAATCGAGTTGCCTGGGTGCAGTCTCCCAGTTCAAGTAATTCGTTGCAAAAGCAGGCAAAGACCAAATTTAGCCACTAGCACTATCAAGTTGGGAAACCGTTGTTGTGTGTGAGACCAAATGAAGTAAGAGTAGTCAAGCTTTGTAGCTAAGCCGTGGCGGTGTTGCATTTCATTTTCATTGAAAATCTTTAGTGCGCTTTGTGTGCGTTTTCTTCAATTGGTTTTCTCTTTCTCACTTTTGCCGTTTTCAGTCCCCGCGGTAACGTCTGTCGCCAACTGTCCGAATTTGTTCAACTTCGTTTCGACGCCCACTAGCCAACCACCAGCTACAACTACCGCCACAGTCACCACACAAATGAGCACGACCACAGGTACTGCTGCTCCTCTCTTCTCATTTTCGACTATTCCAGCAGCCACGACGACCGGTACCACTGCCCAAACACAACTGAAAACATCCGTTAGCCAGTCATTTACTTTCGGGTCTTTGACTAGCTGGTCCTCACCAAAGCCGGTCTCAACTCAGGCCGCTGTCACCACTCCGTCTGTCTCTTTGCCTCCATCATCACAAAGTGAGACCAAAACGAGTAATGGGACACTCGTTACATTCTTGGCCCCTACCACAGCAACATCAACAGGTAGCGCCACAGGATTCAATTTCTCCATTCCAGCTGCCACAAGCACCAGTACCACTGCTAGCGTCGGGTTCAGTTTTGCAACCGCACCACTAAACACAACCACCGCGTGTGCGACCACGACCACCGCTACACTACCAACATCCTCGTTGTTCCAGACTCCAACAACAACATCGACTGGTGGTACACTGAAACCCGTTTTCTCATTCCCGTCGTTGAGTTCCGCCTCCAGTACGCCGTCAACGTTCGGACTTGGTAAGCCTTTGGCCACCACAACTGCAGCCGTAACGACAACGATGACTATCACCACCACGACCAGCAGTAGCCCAATGTTCAATTTTGGCTCTAAACTCGGTTCAGCACCAACCTTTGGTCTCTCCAGCTCCACACCGTCTACGACCACCACAACCTCGTCAGCATTCGTGTTCGGCAAAGCAGACAAGCCAGCTCAACCTAGCACGGTATTTAGCGCGTTCGGAGTAGTGTCGACAGCTCCCACGACCCTCAGCACGACATCCGCAAATCTCTTTACACTCGGCGTGAAACCGGCCACAGTGGCAGGACCGGTAACCTTCACGGCTCCGACACCGTCCACCACATCCAGTTGGTTTGGAACGCCGACGGCTAACTTTGTAGCACCAGCTTTCGGTGTTCATGCAGCTACAACCGCAGTCAGTACGACGTCAGCGAGCGGATTTTCTTTCGCTTCGAGTGCCACAAACACCACGGGCCTTCCGAGTGTTGCAACAGCTCCTGGGCAGTTGTTCCAGTTTGGTGCTTCCTCATCGGGGAATCTTTTTACGGCCACCACAACAACCAGCAGCCCATTGGCTCCAGCCGCTTCAGCATCACCTGTGTTTGCCTTCGGTCATCAAGCAACTACTACCAGTCCGTTCCAAACAGCAATCTCCTCTGCCAACTCTATCATCCCCAGTTTTGAAAGTCCAAAAACCTCAACTGCCACTTCAGCGCCATTCCAGTTTGGGGCTTCCCAGTCTGGGTTTAATTTTGGACAAACTTCACTGCCAGCGGCACCAACAGCCACCGCATTTGGTACGACGCCGTCATCTACCACCGGATTTGTTTTCGGTCAGATATCAAATGCGTTCGGCAGTCAGCAGCAGCAACAACAACAACCGGTTGCCAACAATCCGTTCGCATTTGGCACCACTCCACCGAATCCCTCGGGCGCTATCGCCACCCCGCGACGACGGGTTACGGCGGCTAGATCCAGGCGGCGACCTTAGACACTCCTTCGATTTGTACTGCTTCTCCCTCTCTCGAGATCCATCGCTATCTGTTATCCCCAATGAGTTTTCCTAATTTGTGCCGTATTGGGTGCGTTTTTTGCTCGGCTATTTCACTGCACTTTCAGATTTGATCATTGTCCCTTGGTGCATGTATTGTGTCAGTGGTTCCTTCCTGAATGACCGATCTCTGGAACTAATGATACTTCGTTGGTTCTTGGTATCCATACATGTATCTGCATTGGCTCTGTCTCAGCATGCCTTTTGATTTTCCATCCTTTGGGTCGCTTGATGAAGATCAGACTTGGTAAATATAATCGACGCTTTCAGGCAAAAGTTCGACCTGAGATTCCGCTTCAAGCTCGTAAGCTCGAGATGGCCTAATACTTACTGACCGAAAGGTCCGTGGTTTGAGCCCAATTTCACCACCATGACCATTCATGTGTCTAGACTTGAGCGATCGGTCTTCGTGTTTCCTTCGAGAGAGAGGTGGCAGCTGTACCCCGAAAATGGTGTTCCTGCCAACTGACTATTGTTCATGTTATTTATGGATAGTAGGTCAGGTTGGACAAAATTACAGTTGGATTGAACCGTGTTTGGTTAGTAGCCTTAGAATGAAAGTTGAGATAGATTGCGAAGGAACAGGTGGGTTTTTCAGGTGTGTTTGTACATAAGACCCACTCCCGAACTTGCGGATAATAGTTTGAACACTTGACCATTCGGCCACCAATCGTTCAGTCATGGGAACTACTTCGAATGGTCCAGTATTGACAAGCTCCTTGAGAGACGACTTCTGAGATGGAAGGTTCACTCATCTTGTGAGGTTATTCTTCCTTTGATCTACTTATAAATTGACTGTGGACAAAGTTCCCAGCTCCAGTTGAAGGTACACAATAGTAATGTTAGGCAGCCCATTTTCACGACTACTCTCACATTTTAACTGTCTACTGGGTTTTGTGACTGAAGGAACACGTAAAATCCCGGGCCGGTGGCTTGGGTGACGCGTGCCGGTTACTGGATTTCAAAGTGTGTACTTGTTTCCCGTGAAAAAAAGCACCAGAGGAATGCATGTTAATGCCACCAGGTTGAATGGTTTTGTAACGAATGTTCGTATGACAGAAGTACATGGCATTCAGTCACGTGGAAAATACTTGAAACCGATTGGGTAGTCCTCGTTTTCGAGCTGTGAGCAAAAAAGTACTAACAGCGGAGGAGATAATTCCTAGTGTAGAGTCAGTGTTTCAAAAGCTTCCTTCAACGGAAGCTGAGAAGCTACGGATACAACTGGTCACAGTCCTGAAATCCCAATAGCCGGGAGCTCCAAATATTGCACCATCAGAGCGGAGAGCGTTGAACAGACTGAGACAGGTAGATAGTATTGTCATTACCAAGGCCGATAAGGGTAAAGCCACAGTAGTGATGAATAAGAGCGACTATCTTCAAAAGGTCAGGCAACACCTCGCCGATGGACCCTACCGACAAACTACCGGTAGCAGTATTACTTCAATAATGAATAAGAGTAAGGTTGAAGTTGGGAGATATTTAAGATGCGTAATAAACCATTTGGGGCAATGTAAGTGGTATCGGTTGTATCCAAAAAGTGCGATTCAACCGCGACTCTACGGACTGCCAAAAATCCACAAGGCAGATGTACCGATAAGGCCAATAGTGGATGGTATAGGCGCGCCGCCGCATGAACTGGCCAGATTCTTAGCTAGTATACTAAAACCGCTCACGGGGAAATCAAGCACCTTCATTAGGAATTCGTATGACTTTGCCAACAAGGTCGCAGGGCTTCCTTTGGAGATGGACGAAGTCCTCGTGAGTTTTGACGTAATATAAATGTACACAAACACCCCTAGGGCAGATGCTCTGGAGGTAACTAAGAGGTTGTTACTGACAGACACAACACTCGGGGAACGGACACAGCTCTCGGTGGATGAAATAGTTGAGGGCATAAGAGTGTGTTTGAATCTTGATAAGTTTGTTTTTGACACAACTGTTTACTCACAAGAACAAGGCCTTGCAATGGGATCTCCAATATCCCCAGTTTTAGCCAGTATTTACATGCAGGACTTCGAACAAATAGCTTTGGCCGGATATCATTGTCCACCCAAAGTTTTTGGCGTTATGTTGACGACACGTTTGTTGTGATCAAACGAGACAACGTAAACAGCTTCCACGACTATCTCAATAGTTTAAACCCACACATTAAGTTTAGCGTGGAGATAGAGTCCACATCGGGCACATTACCCTTTCTGGGCTGTATAACACATAAGGTTGGTGGGAAATTGAAAACGACTGTCTACCAGAAACCAACAGACACGGGGACCGTCTTAAGCTATTCATCAGCACACCCAAAGTCCGTGTACGCCAGCATTGTCTCATCGATGTTTCGTCGAGTTAGAGCGCTGTGCACAGAAGAGATCGACCGGACGGCAGCTCAAATCGAGATTGCCAACAAACTTCAAGAAATAGGATACCCAGTGAGTTTGATTAGGCGACAACTAAGGAAGATATTGGTTCCAGTATCTAGACCCAGTAAAGAATGGATTGGCACAGCAGTCATTCCATATAAAGCAGGAACATCGGAGGTTATTCGAAGATTGTTGAACTTAGCCAACATTGGAGTAGCTTTTCAGAAGGGGAAAACGCTACGCTCAGTTTTGGTGCAATTGAAAGATCCCCTGCCGGCTGAAAGGACTAGGGATTGTGTGTACAAAATTAACTGCAACGATTGTGCTAAGGTTTATATAGGACAAACTGCCAGGGAATTGCACACCAGAATTGGTGAGCATGAAAGAAGGATTAACAAGCCACTAAGGAATGCAGAAGAATACCAAACGCTGGTCAAAGACTCAGCGATGGCGGTACATGCCTTAGACACGGGACATAGAATAGATCTGGAGAATGTGGAAGTCTTAAGACGGGGACTGCGATTCACACCACAACGGCTGATAGCCGAGGCGGTGGAAATCACTAAGCATCACAGCGTGAATAGAATCGAGGGTGTGGAGCTAGCGAGCGTATGGAAAGCGGTCTTAGATAAGCCGAGTTGACACGTGACGGTGTGGTTGTCAATCCACTTAGGATCATTAGAAAAAACCGGGGGGTAGGGGTGGAAACCCCAACCGACCAAAGGTCACAGCATCCCTCCTACACAACTTTCTTAGCACTAGCTCACCCACACAGACTAACAGAAGGTTCAGACGAAGTTCAAGAGGAACCATCAAATGAACCGAACCAGAAGAACTAGACCCTAGACAGGACCCAAACACATGTAGGTTTCCCCACAGACCCAACACTTGTTCAACCACTCTAACACACTAAAATCCCTCGGCCGACACCCAACAGAAATTTAGCTTGACTTAGCTGATTGGTTCTCCTTCCGCCTTAAATCTTGATCAACCTCGGATCCTAGTCACTTGGCCTGACGAAGCTTTTGTGTCACAAGCGAAACGTTGCCCAGCAATAAATCTACAGATTGTCACCAAACTTTTTCGAATACATGGCATTCACATAATCGGATCTACACCGGCAATCAGATGAGGCAGCGTTCAGAAATTGCTCGCATTGTGCAAGTCCGGTCAACATACGCACATAGCACTGTGAACTGGGGTGCGCCTTGTAAAAGGAAGATATCCGTACTGCTGTTCCATGTCAATACTCTCTTGTATGGCAGCCCATTCGTGTTCTGTTTCAACCCACGTAACCATTCATAAGAGTACTCGGAGTGATACTTAGTTTAGACATGAACCGGACTGGTCGCGAGAAGTTATATATTTATTCTGTTTTTTGTTGAACTACTGAGTTTCATTAGTAGGTTGTTTCCAAAAATGATTCTTCGTCGCTGTCGTCTGCTGCAAGCGGCAGCAGTGGACGCGCTTAAAATACCTGTAGATCAAGTGCGTTTTCAATTAAAAGGCACTCCCCAGGGCTTCAAGGTCATTGATTAGGTATCGGAAGAATCTCAGTCCCTATAAAAAACTCTTGACGTCACTACAGCCCCACTATTTATTCGCCTACTCCACCCATGCAATTTTGATCCCCACCGAGTAGTCGCACCGCCAATCAGAATCCTAGTAAGGGTCTCTAAATGGGCGGCCACAACCCAACCTACAGAGACAACATTTGACTCACCGTTGTTTGATGTGCGGACCTCGAAACTTGCCGGTCGGTGACAAACTGGCGCACTTGTTGACGCTACGAGCGTGGACAATCGAGGTTTGCTGTGCGATTTCGCGTAGCTTTCGTAAACAGTACCGCAGACTTTCGATCCTTCTTTTGATATTCAGGATCGTCAAACCCACAAGTATCGAAAACCTCAGCACCCTGTTATACATTTTACAACAGAAATCGTATATCAAAACAAACTTTAGAGTTAAACTCTAACACCAAGATTGCTTCCATAACTGCGTGCCATCACATCGAACTAAGTGGTTGCCGGGAACACTGGTTTGTTCACCAGTTGTAGCGAGATTAATGTACCTTGTGTTTATCCGTATGACGAATCTGAATTCCACTGACTTGCTCAACCTCAAGTGTCCTTGCTATTTCTCAAATAATCATCCCCATATTGCCACATCACAGAAATTAATCTGCATGTTCCGAGGATTACTTCCAAAGATTGATGGGGATTTGGAGTGCGAACGTTCCTAATCGACTATGTTTCCTTGTTGTTTTCTGTTTAAAGCAAATGTCCTGCCACAACTAAATTCCAAGCGTTTGGAGATTGGTTGGTATCGATTGGTGAATAAAATACCACTTGCCAGTAACTGACGAACACTGTTCAGACGTCAGGGGAACGTCATCTCCGAAAAACTAGGTTGGCTCTGACAGTAATGACAAATTTTATCATCAGTGACATGACAATGAAATGAACAGTCATATGACCCCAGGACGCGTAGTGGCGTTAGTGGGAAAGTTGATAGTTACAGAGTGCACTCCAAAATGGTCCGTAACCGCTCGATAACCTGGTTCCGTTTTTTGTTCATTCCAAA